TCTTATTTTACCTTTCAGCTTCGCTAAAAGCACTTCTACCAACGCTTGGCTTACCAAATTTACGCCAATTTATAAAATTTTGCTATTTAAATTCATTTTCAATAATGTAAATAACGAGTCGTGTTGAATCCAAAATCGCCTCGTCTGAATAGGGATGGCAACTTTTTCACTTTCAACTTCTCATTCAACTACGTATTCAACTTTTGTTGCCTGTAAAATCGCCGCGTGCGAATGCCCTATAAGGGCCGCTTACTCAATGTTTGGTTAACACTAATCTGCGATGAAACATCGTTATCCACGTCTTCGACTCCATGCATATAACAGGGAGTCGGTAACGTCGATAACTATGTTTAACCGGAGATTAGTGTTAACCAGCCATTGAGTAACCGGCTCTAAATGTTATGCACAAATTTACTTTAAAAGAACTAGCGTGAAACTGACATATTATTTGAGAATTTATCTAAATTATTCCAATTATAAAATTGTGATTTAGCTTTATTCGAATTGTAATACGCATTTAATTTCATCTTCCGATTAAAATGGATCGATCTTTGTAAATTCTAATTGGAGATTATTCAATATTATCAAAATCACCCTCTACCAACTTAATTTTTACATATTTCGTCTGTTTTCCCTTAATTTGATAAAATACTTCTTCCTAGTTACGACTTAGTTGCAGCTGCAGCCGAAACTAAATTTTAAGTTGGTACTTAGCCAGAAAAGTCAAAACTAAGGCGACTATGAATAGCTTTAGTTGTGACATAGAATAGTTTCGACTTAGTTGAGTACTAAATATGACTATGAAAAGTAAAGTAATTATCGAAGTGACGACTTTCAGGCACAGTTAGCGGTTTGCAGTTTTTCGATTAGGTTATTTGTAACTTGATTGGTTAATCGATAATTTTTTTATCACAATAAAAGTAATCTTTAACCTTTATTAATTTATAATTCATTGGCCCGTAGTCATAGTAAAAAAAAAGTGGACTTTAAAGTTAGTTGCAGCTTTTTTGACAGATATCCCATTGAAAATTATGTCAAAAAGTTGCAACTAACTTTAAAGTCGACTTTATTTTGACTATGACTACGGGCCATTGTGTTCCTGTGTAAATTTAGTGCTGGAATATCTTTAAAATCACACGTCCCAAACGTTGAGGAAAAAAAATTACAATTCACTGATGATATTAACACTAAAACATAATTAATCGATTATTGATTCACAGCAACAACGACAATTCGAAATTCACTTAAATTTTTCATGTTTGCTATAACATAGGAGTTGTATGAAAACTAAAATACAATAATTATTTTCGTCAAATATTTACTAAATAATTTCATTTCTGAGCGCTTTACAACTATTCATGTGAAAATGAAAATCAAAATGACTTCTTCCAAATATCCGATGCCCGATCGGATAGGCGTCTTTTTAGTAGCTTTTTGCGAAAAGTTACTTTGCCATACCTTCTACTTAACAAGAATTTTAGCAAAAGATTATTGATAGGGAATAGGCGTATTTTCAGTAACTTTTTGCGAAAAGTTACTTTGCCATACCTTACTTATCAAGTTATTTAGTAAAAGATTATTGATTTTGGGGAAATAAATCATATATTTCAAAGACATTTTTATTTATTTTGGGGATAAATCTAATTTGTGGAAAGGGAAGTAAAACGAAGTAAAATGAAGTGATGCAGTGAAGGGTTCCAAAGTGAAGTGAAAAACTTCAATGGAAGTGACAGCGGCAGCACTGGTTGTGAACTCCTTTGTTTGTAATCAGTTTCTTCATGGTTTTTGTTATAAAATATGTTATTGAAATACACGATCTCATTTTGTTTTACACGAGTTATTTTTGTGTATACAAATAATCTTTATGGTTTTTGTAGTTAAGAAATGGGTTATTTAAGATTTCTTCCTGTTCCACGCATTAATTTTAAATTTGTCAGGCCATTATAATTCAAAATTACAAAATCTTGTAGGAAATTGTGCAATTTTAAATTTTAAGTTTGATACATTTAAATATTAATGGTATTCATCTAAACCGATAACTTTATCAAGTAGATAATCTTATAAGTTTGTGCACTCTGTTACATGAACGACCCACACTCTCTTTTCGTTTACACGTGTGACAATAGTCGTGTTATCTTTGGTTATAGAGCTCAGTATCACTAACTTTATACTACTAGCATGAGGATAAAGAAATTAAAGAAACTAACTCACTAAATGGGGAAAAATTATATTTACGAGAAAATATGTATTTAAATAAATATACATATGACATAAAGGCTATTTATTTGAAGCAAGTTAGAAGAAACAATGGCAGAATGTCTGCTTGTGTATGAATTCATTTGTCACTACTACCAAACTTTGCGGCCACATTATCAGTGAAACAAAACAAACAGAATGGATAATAATTGAACCAGTTCTCTATCAGGATCACATCGTTGTTGTTGAATTGGCGTGAAAAATTTTTCTGCGGATCCCGATTATTGCCCAAGAAAACATAGCTAGAGTTGCGACAGAGTTGCATTGACTTCAGTTTATCAATCTTATTCAGTGAAATCGCTGGAGAAATTTATCAGAAATGTGTAAACGAGTTTCCATACAAATTTTGACAGCTCATTTTTAAGGTTTACACAATTATAAGTTTATACGGTTTACAATGCATTTATAAGGTTTGCTGAATACCCTTATTGATTGGTGAAACCGGACATTAAACGATGTTTCCACGCCAAGTGATTCGCTCTCCCATTCGTAATTCGCTCTCTCATTCGTGAATGGCGCCCCAATTACGAACCGAATCATGTAATTCGCCATACAAAATTTTGAGAGGGAATCACTTCATTCGTAGGTGATTCAGATCCAATCAACATGCGAATCAAGAACAAATCGTTATCTTCTCTAATTTTTATCGATAACGGTTGTCAAAATACATAGACCACACACTTCCCCGCCAGCACAAACATTGAAAAAACAGCTAGATTCGTTAAAACTATTGATTTAGCTAATTAACCCAAGGCGCATCAATTACAGGTGATAGCGATTGAAGCCATGCTTCTTCTTATGAGCACGCTTGTGTCAAATTATCGCCTGTTTTGCTTTTTTTACATATCCGCGTATACATACACATATACGTAAATATATACCCTGCAAACAAATGCTCCCGAAATCTTTATGAATATCGGAAATTTGTTACGATTCTTTTAGGAATCTTTAAAGAAAAACCTATGAAGCGGTTGACAAGAACTAGTAAAGAAATTTCGGTACGATTTCTTAAAGAAAATTCTTAAAAAAATTGTGAAACCTTTCACCTATGAAATCCTGGTATGCAGGGTATACATATACATACGAATATGAATAAATAAAGATGTTGATGACACAAGGAGTTCATACCAACGGTAAATGTTGTTTTTGTACGATTGCTACAACCTGTAGTTGTACAATCATGTAATTAACCACTGCAAATTTTTCTCCACCGTAGAAATGCACAATAAACAGCACATTAAACAAACAAGAAGCACAGATGTAAAGTGAATCACGAATGTGTTGTGTAAACAGGTTGATTCGCCGTTCATAATTGAGAGCGCGACCCAGTGGTTCGGTTGCTGTGGAAACGCCGTTTTAGTGTTATGCCTCAACAATTGTAACAAAGCCTTCGACAGTATCGATAGTATCGAATATTCTGCACTATCACTATCGAAACAATCGAATGTATAAATAAAATACAAGAATGATAGAATACAAGATTGCGCCGTCCTATGACGGGCGTTGACATTTGTGTACCACAAGTAAACAAGGATAGAGCGAAAAAAAGCACGAGTTGAAACTGCCAAAGCGGTTCACTTTACTGCGAAAAACGTGTTTTAATTTTGCCAAATGCGAAAATATTGCATTTTTCTCCTAATCTACTAGAGAACAGTGAACATTTTAGTGCACTCCATTGCTTTGCAATTAAGCCTGCTTCAGCAAACGTTTTAGTGCACTTTATTGCTTTGCAATTAAGGCTGCTGCAGAAAACTGCAGCAGCATCTCTGCGGGATTGATTAGTTAACTTGCTTCAACTCAAAAATCGCCCTCAAATTGCAAATTAACACAATTTAAACTGATTTTTCACTTATAATTCANCCACTAAGGACCAGTTTTTCAGTTCGAGTTTAACTCTGTTTGTCGCTTAAACTAAGTTTAAACTCAGTATGCAGTTTTTCAGTCAACTTTAAACGTAGTTTAAACTAAGTTTAAACTGAGTTTAAACGGCCGATCTGGCAGGGTTAAACTTAGTTTAACCTATCAGCTGTTTGCTGATACGTTTGTCTTGGTTGCAAAAAATTAATTGAACGCAAGGTCTTGTAATTTAATTTTTACTTAAAAAATGGATATTTCCTCTGACGAAAGTGATTATAGTGACGCGGCAGTAAGTGAAATACTTACGATTACTATACTGAGGAGAAAAAGAGTCATATGTACTCACCCGAATCATTTTAATATTTTTGATGAAATATTCAACAATTTATATTGAGCTCGAGGCCGTTTTTTAAATGAAAATTTATTGTGGAAAAGCAACAATAATTTGAAAAAATGGTAGAAGTGATAGCTATTTCGGAAATCACCACATTTCCTCATCAGACTTCTTTCAGTAGGATTCGAACCGACGATCCCACTGACTCAGCCAGTTGCCTATGCACCGTGCTAAGTACGCCTTGTAAATTATCGTTTGCCTATTTCCACTATTTTCATTTTTGTTATTCCAACACAATCAAGCGCAGCTATTCCGCTGCAATTCACTTGATCATGTGGTTGTTTGTATTGTTGGTTGTTGATGAAAAAGATTTTTTTGAACGCTTTCGCCTAACAAAAGCATCCGCTTACCGCGTTTTGGAGCTTATCGGAGAGCACATCAGACACCCGACAAATTGGTAAGCATTTATATTTTTAAATAATTCAAAATATTAAATTCTAGGTGCTTTAGGAATCACGCATTGACAGAGGAACAAATGCTACTTATTACCCTAAGGGTATATGCAACTGGTGGAAGCCTCTTGTTTGAGAGTTCATGCTCTTCAACTATGCATTTCATATGTAACTCGCACTTTTTTGCCTTTTTTGAGGCAGTATCAGCCCAGGAGTCCGGAGCAGAGTTCCTTTTTCGAGCCTTCATAGTGGTGTGCCGGTTTTCGCAGATTGACTGGGGTATATTTCTGCCACGAAATGTCTTGAGGTTTGTCTATTGAAAAAAGTATGTATTTAAACACAAAACATTTACATACATAAATATTTTGCTAATTTGTATTTACCTAGTGTCTGCTCTAGTAGGGATGCGGATAAATCTTCTTCCATCTCCACTGGAACTTCCACAATGCAAGTTTCTTCTGAAGTACAATTATGTTAAAATTATAGTACACATATTGTTGGGATATGTTCAATTACGAATTACCAATTATTTCTAATGCGTCGTCATTATAAATAGCTTCATTGCCCGCAATTTGCTCAGGCTGGCAAATGCTCAGTATTTTCCCGTCTATTGTTGTGCTGGGTATAAATATCACGCCTTTCTGCTGCTAATCTCTTTTTTGAGTCCTTCTTCACATTCTCGTACTTCGTCTTCAGCACCTTTGAGCTCCTATACACTTTACCAAACTTTGAGTTGAACTCGATCTCTATTTCCTTCCACACTTTCAATTTTACCTCTGCGCTGACTCGATCAGTTTTTTTGCACTCCAGCACATTTTTATTTAGTTCTACTTCTTCTTCTCTCTTCTTTATTGGCGCTGTAACCGCCCAAGCGATTTTGGCCAAGTCCAAAACAGCACCCCAGTCATTTCTCTTCTGTGCTAACTGACGCCAATTGGAAATGCCAAGTGAATACAAGTCCTTCTCTTCCTCTGTTACCAGCATCGCGGCCCGCGTTGAATATTTTCAGAGCAGGAGCGTTTCTGTTCATTCTACTAATTCTAATAAAAAGCTCACTTCACTCGTTGAAAAACTATTACTTCTCACAGACATTTTTATTTATTTGTTCACAGCGTTTAATTTTTATGGAAATTTATCAAGCAATGGCGTCGAATTGTAAACAAAGATCAGCTGTTGTCGTATGTAGATAAAAAACAGTGTTGCCCTACAAAATGGCCAATGTTTACAGCGGCCTTAAACTCTCACTGAACAACAGCTCTCCAGTTTAAACTAAACTTGAGGATTGTTGTCGATTACACATTCTTCATCCAATGTTGAAAGGACAAAAATTATTGAAACCAAAATGTCGAAATAAACTTCAAGAGAAACAATTTCCTCTTTAATAAGAAGTAGAGAATATCTTAATTCTAATGGACTCTGCTGTCATAACATAACACTAACAAAATGTAATGAAACAGTGGAACTACGACTAATTTTTTACTGAATTAGTAATTTTTTGGAACTTACTGGTAAGTTTGTAAATTTAAAAATATCCAAGTATTGTAACATTTCATGTTTATATAATTACATACATGCATTTATGATCATAATATTTGATGTAAAAATGTGTAACGTTTTATGTAAATAAAATAAAGGTAATATTAATTCTAAATTTTTAGTATGTAACAATTTTTACTTTATTAGGAACAATAATTAAATACAAGTTGTACACAATAACTAAATATTAGAAAAATAATTGGAATCGAAATTTGGTACAATTTATTGACAAAAAGTACAATTTGAATTACATTTTCATACGAAATTGGAAAATGCTTATCAACACTGTACCACACAATTAAATTGCACCTTATTTTGGAGAAACGTTTCTCAGGTAAATATGTGCAGAAATATGAATGTGCGCTGTATATTTTGATAGCTTCTGCTTTAAAATGCAAAAAACAGAGAATATTAAAAACATTTATTTTTTTTTTAATTCTTATTTATATTTTACAGCACAATCTGAACACCAAAACCAAAAGTAGACTAATAGCCCAATTCTGTATCGGTGACAAATCATTTTTTACAGACGAATTTCAAATTTTTCATATATTTTCATGCACCTCACCGACGCAAGCCCGATATTGCGATATATCTTATAAGAGTTACCAAATAAAACTTATAAATATCTACGTATAAAACTTTAAGACTTTAAATAACAAGAGAAAAATTATTTGCTTTAAACTAGTAATATTATTCATGGTTTTCCAAAATTCATTTCTGCCAGCCAAAAGTATCAAAATGGGGCATTTGTGAACAAAAAAGTATCAAAGTATCAAATCTTGAAATTTAAAAAGAAAGTACAAAAATGATACGATTCTATCAAAACGGGAACGCTGGACCTAGTTCGAAATTTTAACTGAACTATGTAAATGAAATTAATGGGAAAAATTTCCAATAATGGACCAGGCTTTGAAAAAAAATGAAAATGAGGGGGTGTAGAAGGGGTTCCCCGGATTTTAGATCTGAAGGTCGCCCCCTCCGGAGTCTTATAATTTTTAAGTAATTAGTATTTAAAGTTGCAAAAAAGTCAAATTCAACTTCATTTTTTCCTTTTTAGAGCGATTGAACTGAAACTTCGGTGCTGACACATCCAAAAAAAAATTCGAAAAAAACTGAAAACGGGAACTATGAAATCGCATAATTTTTTATTGCATATTTCGCGATATTTTATTAAAAATTTTCACTTTGTAAAAAATATTGTTTAACCTTGAAATTTTACTAAAAATTTTTTTGGATAAAGTTTTCAATGATCTGGCATTACATACTTCGCGGCCTTCTCTCAACAATTGTTTGTTTGCGAATAGGAACTTATTTAAAGAACACTTTTATAAGCATTAATTGTTATATATTTAGAAAAAATTGTATTCATTTCTTTATGAAGAAAAGAAGATGATATATTAATGAAAATAGCAGTGATTAGTGCAGTGTTTATATGAAAAATATGTGAAGTAATTGGGAAAATTTAACAACAAATAACTTTAAAACTGTTAGCATTTCTAAACAAAATGTTAAAGATATCGGCCAATAACCACTTCCTCGACACCATTTACGAATTTCATTAAAAAATTGGTATACTTTTCCTGAAATATGAAATGGTCTATTATTGGAAATCTCAGCCAATGAATGTATGTACAGTGACGAACAAAAGTATTGGCACAGTGAATTTTTCGCCATATATGCAAAGTTTTTTACTGTAATTTATTTTCGATAATTTTTTATACAAATATAGTTCATTTTACACCAGAAAACATAATAATAAAATCTCTAAACTTTGTGCAAAACTCAGGAAAATTCTTTAAATTTGCACACTAATACTTTCATATATATAAATGCACATAACACTGTACTTAATACTTTAGACACTTTTATTTTATTTTATCTTGTATATAAATCACTTTAATTCAACTTTTGTCGACTTGCAAATTACATTGAATTGCACCCATATTTACAATAACACATGGTTGCAAACTGCCACATAACATGTGTTGCCATATTGTACAAAATAATACATACAAAAAAGGCAATGTTTAAAAAGGAATACAGGGGAAATCAATACAAAATAAAATGAAAATTTACCGCTACTTTTATTCTGGGCGTGTAATATTATCAATGAGGGTTTCCGGTCACGAACCCCTGTGCAAAAATATTGCCCATGACGTAGGCGGTGTTGGTCCCGCCCGATTTGTTTGCTTTAAGTTCGGTCGAAGGCCGCTTACGCAGAAAGGTGTTCTCTGCAAAAGGTGTTCAGCTCATTTTCTTCGCAAAACAGAAAGGAGAATTCTTCTGCCTGACGGTTATAATCCCTAAGTGCGGCCGAAGGCCGCCTACGTAGAAAGATGTTCTCTGCAAAAGGTGTTCAGCTCCTTTTCTTCGCAAAACATAAAGGAGAATTCTACTGCCTGAGGGTTATAATCCCTAAGTGCGGCCGAAGGCCGCTACGCAGAAAGGTGTTCTCTGCAAACGGTGTTCAGCTCCTTTTCTTCGCAAAACAGAAAGGAGAATTCTACTGCCTGAGGGTAATAATTCCATAAGTGCGGCCGAAGGCGCCTACGCAAGAAAGGTGTTCTCTGCAAACGGTGTTCAGCTCCTTTTCCTCGCAAAACAGAAGGGAGAATTCTACTGCCTGAGGGTTATAAACCCTAAGTGCGGCCGAAGGCCGCCTACGCAGAAAGGTGTTCTCTGCAAACGGTGTTCAGCTCCTTTTCTTCGCAAAACAGAAAGGAGAATTCTACTAAGTGAAAATTCCGAATTAAAAATCCGCTTTTATTATTCAAAATTCCAGTCTGGTAGCACCAAGTTGTATGTTATTTTGCTATCTTATTCATCGTTTATATGAAAACTTTAACAATAAATTATATAAGAACTATAGGGTTGCTAGAAAAAGGGGGGTATTTTTGAAATCAGTGGGTCCTATTCTACCCCCCTCATCCCCCCTTTTTCTAGAATTTGCCGTCCGTCTACTAAAATTTTCCCAAAAAAATTCAAAGTATGCAGTTTTATAGCCCATTCAAATTCAGTATAACAAAGTGCAAGTTTAAAGTTGCTAGAAAATCGCGTTGATTTTTGGCAATTTTTATAGTGGAAGGTGTCGCTCATTTTCTCCATACAAAAAATAATTGTCGAATTACTTTGTATGGAAGAACTTGCGTGAAAAAAAATTACCAAAAATCAATGCGATTTTCAAGCGACTTCAAACTTGCACTTTGTTATTCTAAATTTGAATGGGCTATAAAACTGCATACTTAGAATTTTTCTAAAAAATCTGAATAAAAAGTTGCAAATAAGTGTGCAAATTTAATGAATTTTCCTGAGTTTTGCACAAAGTTTAGAGATTTTATTATTATGTTTTGTAGAATGTGTGTAGAATGAACAATATTTTTACAAAAAATTATCGAAAATAAATTAGAATAAAGAACTTTGCATATATTGCGAAAAATTCACTGTGCCAATACTTCTGTTCGGCACTGTATATGTATTAAGTGGAAGAAAATGCGAAATGTCTCAGCAAAAAAAATAATTAAAATGCAGCGGTAATGTTTGGCCACATCAAACGTGCACATTATTATACTGAAATGAAATAGCTTTTAAAAGATCTGAGTTAAAATTGGAAAATATCGATGATTTTTTTAATTTGTTGAGTTTTGTCTACATTTTTAAACATTGAATTATCTGGCTTATGTTATATGGTATATATGTAGTAACTTCTCCAGTAAAAATTGCAGCAAGAGCGTAAACGCAGAATTGAGAAAAAGAGGAAGCTAGTAGAAAATCTATTGAACACAAAACTAGTAAAAATTTGCAAGTGAACAGTTGTTGCACTGTTTTGACATTCTGCTGTAAACATTTTACTATTTATAAATCAGTTTTAGACTATAGACTTTAAGCTTTAAGACTTTAAGCTTATAAGACTTTAAGTTAAGAGCTTTAACACAAGCACTTACACATTCCAGTACATCAATAATATCTTGATTTCCACTCATTTTACTTTTGTTTATGTTTAACCAATTCAATAAATGGCGGTTTTTGACATTAATTCTATTTCTTCTTCTGAAAGCTAATTTCTGCTCGTCAAAATTTCACTAGCAAGAATTTTCAGCACTCCTGTGTTATTCAGCTCTCGATTCAGAGCTATCTTGCAAATTTTTTGAGTTATTAGACACTTTTCCCGTAAAAATTTACAGGTTCCAGAACAAATTAGTACTGACTCATTGTTACTATACACACCTATATACTCAGCTATATTTTTATTAAAAATTTGCGATAAAATGTAACATTTAAAATATTTGTTAGTATTGTAAAAGTTATAGGTTGC